CGGGGACAAACACGCTCCCTACCCCATGGAGGGGACTTACGCGGATGTTGTCAAAGGACATTTTGCTGGTGATATCATAGAGCAGGAGCAGGGCTGGAAGGGAAGAGGCAGAGGCATTGCCCCGCTGCAGGGCTGCGCTCTGACCAGTCTCCCCCATCCCCGCTGGCCCCCGAACCCACCTTGGGCATCTCTGTAGTAGGCATGGGTGACGCTGCGGAAACGCTCCTGTCCTGCCGTGTCCCAGATCTGCTGAGAAGCCACCCCGGTGAGAGTGGGGAGGGGAAACCCTCCAGCTGGGGATGCCTCTGTGGCTCTCAGCCCCGCTGGACCACCACGCTCAGCCTTGAGAAGTAGTTCCAGCAATCTGGCTGGGAATTGCTCACCCCCTCCCAAAGCTCACCTGCAACTTCACCTTCACACCATCCACAGCCACCACTTTGTTCTGCAGAAGAGAAGGAGAACACGTTTATCAGCCCAAAGCTGGGGGATTCTCCACTGCTCCACAGTGCCTTGGTGCAGGTGCCGGCCAGCCCCAGTGATGGAACCCGCCATTCCCTGGCCCCACAGCTGCTCTCTCCTGGCTGTCAGGATGAAGCAAGGCTGCCCGTGGGGCTGGATGTTGAAGGCTCATTGCTACAAACCCTGGTCCTGCTGAGGGGCTGTGATGCTGTGTGGTGGCTACAGGGACATCCCAGAGAAGCATCCCATCACGCCAGGGTGGAAAAGGGCAGAATCAGGCCGTCGGAGACAGGACAGCAAGATCTCAGTCGGCTTTGGATCCAGAGCCTTGGTCATCTCCTCCAGCCAGCAGTCCTGTCCTATGGTTCCTGAGACTCCTGACGAGCCGGCTAACGACGCGGGCTGCCCTGCAAAGCCCAGGGACACCAGCCCCTGCCCGCGTGGCCACGGGAAGTTCAGCAGAACTGGGAAAGTGGGGGGGTCTTGCATGAACCACACGCAAATGTGTGTCTATTAATAACACCTTGGCCTGTTTTTATAATGTTTGCCTACCATAAAGTCCTGACCATTTTGCCAGGATTCCTCTGCTCCACATGCTGAAGGAACCACTGTTGCACTAAAAATTTGGGCTATTTGCAGCAATTTAAAGCTTTTGGATACTGTGAGCTGCCCGGGGGTGCTCAGCGCATGATGCTGGTGCCCACCTCAGGTTTTCTTGCTTGGCCCTTACAGTGGTTGCACACACTGAGCTGGGGGGTTGCAGGTAGCACATAGCTTTATCCAGCCTGGCAGGAGGAAATCTCCTGGGTTAAGGTGGTTTGCAGCCAGGTAGCAGGGCTGGGACCAGGGAAGGGAAGAGGCATTCGCATGTGAGTGGGGAAGGCAGTTACCGGGGCTTAAGCAATCGCTGTACCCAACTGGGAAGTGCAGGGACTTCTCTCCAGAGGCCAGGGGAAAGTAAAGTATAAGTTAGCAAAGGGCTGTTTTGAGGCTCTTAAAGAACTGTACTTGGAAGGATGATTCTGGAAAGACAAGACCCCCTATAAAAAATTTGGTTGCCTGGAATTGTTTGAGATGGAAATTTAGCTCATGTGGAGGTGACAAAGTTTGAGAAAATGGGCTGAATCAAACAAAAATGTGCCCTAGGAGACTCTGGAAATGACCTACCAGCAGCAAGCTGAGAGCTGCTGCAGGGGACACTTGAAGAAGGCAGAGCGGGTACGTACAAGCTGGCAACACCCCTGGGGCCACCAGCGCTGAGCCCAGCGGTGGGACGTGGCTGATTTTCTTTCTTTCATGACTTTATTGGAAGGACAGGCTGTGAGACTCCTCCAAAACGAACCCACACTCTCTCCCCTCAGCCCCTGCTCACAAACCTCCTCCTTCTTCCCCCCTGTAAGAGCAGCCTGAGCAGAAAAGGCAGCGGAAAACCAGAGCAGCTGTGGAGGCAGAGGAAGCGCTGACAAACCCAGGCCGGCAGCCGTGGGCAGAGCCCTGCCCGGGGACACCCCCATGACTTCCAGCCTGCTGAAATGCCTCTCTATCCTGTGCTGCAAAGGGCTCTGCCTGCCTGTGCACTCCCCAAGACTTTGCAGCTGAAATGTGAGGAATAGGGAGCAGCGAGAGCATCTAAACGGGATCCAGTGACCCTAAGAACTCCTCGGCAGCCAATATCAGCTCTTTCAAGGCACAAAACTATGGCAACCAGCGTTTGCCCACAAGCTGTCGGCCTCAGCCTGGCTAGGGGAGCGTGCTGGCTGCCCACCACACACCCTCAGCCCACGCACCCAGCCCGGATGGGCTAAACTGAGGCTTTTTGCTGATTTAAAGGCAAGAGGCGATGCTCCCAGTGGGCTCTTCCATCCATTACAGCTCTCTGAGGCAGAGGTAGAAGGGTTTCAGCAAGTGCCTGCAGCCAGTTGGGAGATCATTTGGGGTGCAGAGGCTGGAACCCCTCAGTCTTCCCTTCCCAGCACCCTGTCTTGGCCAAGGTGTGGGTTGGGGGAGGCGAGGGGCTGGCAGCCGTGGTGGTCTCACCCGGAAATCTATGCCCACGGTGGCTATGAACGTCCCGGAGAGAAAGGCCCCGTCTTTGAAGCGGAGCAGGAAGCAGGTTTTCCCCACGCCCGAGTCTCCAAGTAACATCACCTGCAAGATGGGTGCAGGGAGAGGTGTCAGTGGGACGGGGAGGGAGCAGCTGCCCTGCGTGCTCCTGAGCTCCCCCAGCTCCCTTGTGTCCCTCCATTTCTTTCCCCAGGGCTGATCCTGACGAGTCTAGGGAGCCCCGTGAGAGCTGGGGATGGGGTGGGACCCCTGAGGGTGCAACCAGGCAGTGCCCCAGGGCAGTGGAGCAGCCCCCAGCCACTGAGATGGGGAGAGCAGAAGAGGAGAGCTGGTGGGAAGGCAGGTACTGCAGCAAGAGCAGATGACTCCTGGCCCACCCCTGGTCATCTCCAAGCCCAGGAGGGGTCTCGGACAACCGGCCGC